ATTTGGGACGACATACTATACTAAGACTTTTTTTCCATAATTTAGGATGACATACTATACTATGACTTTTTTTCATGATTTGGGACGACATACTATACTATGACTTTTTTTCCATAATTTGGGACGACATACTATACTATGACTTTTTTTCCATAATTTGGGACGACATACTATACTATGACTTTTTTCATGGTTTTGGACGACATACTATACTATGACTTTTTTTCCATAATTTGGAATGACATACTATACTATGACTTTTTCATGATTTGGGACGACATACTATACTATGACTTTTTTTCATGATTTGAGATGACATGCTATACTATGACTTTTTCATGATTTGGGACGACATACTATACTATGACTTTTTCTCTAATCATCCTGTGATCAGTCTCATCCAAAAAAAGCTTACCTACACCAATAATCTGGTTTGGACTTCATTAACACGTAAACAAGAAAAAGATACACCAAAAAAAGATATTTTATTGCCAAGTCAGGAGCTGGTAGTTGATATAAAATAATACATAATATAATAACACGTGACAAATACATTGACACAAGAGCATAGAAGATTATTCCAATCCATACTGTGAAGATATTTCTTTGGAAATATTGTGACTTTGGGTCTGTGGCAACTCCCCTTTTCTCTGCCTCATAACTTTTTTTTTTTTTTTAACAAAGGAGTCCCTCATTTAAAAATCTTTTGTATGTTTTCAATATTCAACATGAAACACAGCAGCTGATGATGATAGAAGAGAGGAGAGAAGATGTTTCTCCAGGTGGTCTTGTGATGTTCCTCTTCTTCCCAGATGTCATCCATTGACACTGCATATCTAAAAATGGCAAAGACAAGCACCTCTCTTAATGAGCTTTCATTTTAATGAGCCCCACTAGTGCTATGTGCTTGTGTAAAACACAATCCTAAACCATAATAGCGGTGAATGAGACACTGCGGACAGAGCGCATTGAAATATACTATACTAATATATACTATGACTTTTTTTTCATGATTTGAGACGACATACTATACTATGACTTTTTTTTTCCATAATTTGGGACGACATACTATACTAAGACTTTTTTTTCCATAATTTAGGATGACATACTATACTATGACTTTTTTTCATCATTTTGGACGACATACTATACTATGACTTTTCTTCTTGATTTGGGACGACATACTATACTATGACTTTTTTTCATGATTTTGGACGACATACTATACTATGACTTTTTTTCATGATTTGAGACGACATACTATACTATGACTTTTTTTTCATGATCTGGAACAACATACTATACTATGACTTTTTTCATGACTTGGGACGACATACTATACTATGACTTTTTTTCATGGTTTTGGACAACATACTATACTATAACTTTTTTTTTTAAAACACATTTTAATGGCATACTTTACTATGAGTTTTGTATGATAATTCCTGGGCCATTTTTCATGGCATGCTGTCACTTTTTTTAATTTTAATCAAAAAGATGTAAGTTTCTATACTAATGATTCTCATGACTGGCAATTCAGGCGCTCCTCACAGCTGCAAAACATGAAGCAAATCATGGTTATGTTCTCAGATAAATAAGTACAGTACCTCTGAAACATCGTGTACATTTCTTTCTCTTTGTGAAGTTTGTCGCTGACAATCCAACTTTGCAGTTCGACATGCATCAGAGAACATATTCTGTAATTTCCTGTTGGTACAGAGAAAAAACTGAATTTATATGTTACACTTGTACACAAACTACAAAAGCTACTTTAAAAACTAAGTAAATTGTACTTACTTTTTGTCATGCTAAGTTTTATTTGACCTGTCAAACTTCATTTATTTGTCACCAACCTTACCCTCTCTATAGGTTGTTCTCACCACCGCTCTACGTTTCTCCTGGCAACAGCACTGGCACATCCCCAGGGGTCAGAGGTCGCGGGGAGGTGAGGGGGAGGACAAGACGCTCCCTGTCTGCCGACAAGCAGCGCTCAGCGGACAGCTCCATGGACTCCTCTCTTAACAGAGCCATCAGAGCAGCTCGGCACATGAAACACACCTCTGGACATATGGCTCGCTCCCTGGCTGCTGGACTGCACTACCAGCAGCTCCTGACTCAGACCTGAATTCACCTCACAGGCAGCTGAGACTGAGCAGCATTAACCTGACACTGAGGCCGTAAACATCACCAGGAGCTGAAGGGAGCGAGAACACATTCAAGAATAAAAAATCTTAAAGCCTTTTCTTCGTAACTTTTGTTTGGATCCTGTGTTTGAAAAAGAAGCTGTTACTGAAGCTTTGTTTACACCATTGTTTTTAAAGGTACTTTTATGGCGACATTTGAGTCTCAGGTGGATGAACATGAATTTCTCTAACAGTCAAAATAATAATCTCAAACGATGTGCTGGCATACATTGAAATAATCTAATCTAATAATGTAGTACTGTAGATCAGTTTGATAAAAATGTTCTTGATCATGTTGATTTCTTTTACAACAGGTTCATCATCAGAAATGAGAAGTTACAACTGTCTTGTAATGGTAACAAGTTTATTTGAGCTATTTATTGAACATGTGACTTTGCTTATTAATTGTTTGTTTTCAGATCTTTCCTTGTTTGACAAAACAAAAATAAGTTTAGGATTTCAGTGTTATTTTAGTTGCCATATACTGGTAAGCATTTTGTTTTCTTGTGCGCTACAAATGAAATGCACTCGCTCATTGCACCTGTCATGACAGCGTTAGTTCTGGATGATGAATCTATTTCATAAATGGTCAGTGGCTCATCGTCGTGTGAACCTGAGATGCTGGATATCCTCAAAATTAGTCTGCTTGTTTTTTTAACTTATTGCGTACGTTTGTATGTTTTTTAGAACTAAATTTTGTACAGTATTTTATCATAAACTTGCAAGCGTAGCTGTGTGAGCCAGACAAATTTTTTTTATAACTGACCAGCTTTATGTGCATCAAATATTCACACACCAGCAAATATGGATCTATATACAGGAGGGAATGCCAACACAAACAGAGGAATAACACTATTTTTACAGATTATTTTAAGAATCGTATTTGTATACATATACTGTAGAACTGTGGATGCTCAAGTGAATTTTGCTTTTGTTTTTTGTCCATTTAATATTTTTTTGTACCATCTATTTTGTAAATTGTAGATCTTTTTTTACATTTTGCAGGGAGTCTTTTCAGTGTCCCTAAGGAGCCAAATAAAAGGTGAAAATTAACATTTGGTGTCTGAATACTTTGCAATTTAAAATCTAAAGTTGTATTGAAACAGGAGTCTTTACTGTAATGGAAGCCAATTTATTAGACAGCCTTAGTACATATTAGGTACACATGGAAGTATTGTTTGTGCTTCAACACTCGCAAACATACAATCCCAATAAGTTAAACAGTTTTAGGACAGACTAATGCATCACTATTATTTTTTCTCTGATAAATAATTCTGATATAAATCAAGTCATCTGACAGAGTAAACCCTATACAACAGCAAATAATAATAGAAAAAAAATGGACACCGTCAAGCGTTTGCATCACAGAAAATGCATTATAGTGCAATATACAACTTGTTTGGCCAGGAAAGAGGGCAGGGAGGGAGGAAATAAAAGTGAAAAGGGTGGATTTAAGTTGTTTTTTTGTCTTTTGCAAAGCCATTCACCATTGGAGGGTTTTTACATTGCACCAGAGGAGGAAACAGACGCAAAAAATATAGATATTAGTTCTTTTTCCGAGTTGACCACTAACAGCTACAGCTAAAACATCACAAACACGGCGGCTTCACATTGACTTTTTTTTTTTTTAAAGGAAAAGTTATCACTACTTCACAGTCAGAAATATCACCAGTCAACAGTGAGACACTAAAACAGCAACATATGGCATACACAACACTACTCAGTGCATGGCCCAATTAAACATCGTTACTAACCAATGATAAGACTTAATCTGACAGGATACAATACTGAAATACAACTGGCCCTTTTTAAGATTATTCATTAAATATCAGCAAGCAATGGCCTTTGACATTAAAAGGTGAAGTTTCTCTGGAGAAAAGGAAAAAGGTTGTGGCAAGTAAATACTTTACAGTCTCAGCAGCTGGAGGAGGGATGATTCTGGCTTTGTACAGAGTTACATCTCTTTCGACTGTCTACCTAACCAAGACTTTTTAAATGAATATGTTAGCGAAAACTTTGGTTTTGAGTATCAGACACTGAGCGGACAAACTGGGCAACACTGCCTCGGCCATATCTTGCTATTCCTGTGGACGTGTCAGAATCAGTAGTTTGCTCATAAGGAAAGGTGGCTGTCACTATCCAATCCATATCAGCAACCCGATTTGTTCAGGTCCTATCCACTGACCAACTGGCCGTCCTGGCCTTAACCATTCGAGGTCAAAGCCTAACCCCAACCATCTTCCCACATGCGCAGAACAAATTGGGTTTTCCGGTACACATCAGGCAGCGACGGCGCCAAGCAGCACTCAGATTTTTTTTCTATCTGTAATCCCAGACACCAGGGAGGAAGACAAGAGAGATTCCAGAAAGTACAGCAATTGTCTCCACGGATATTTATCCAATGTGCCACATTTCCATGTTGGTTTTCCCTCAAATCACTATGGAGTCTTCCGGCGAATTTTGCCCCCATTTCCATGAAGTCAAACTTTACGGTGCAGCTCCACTGTACACGACCGAGTCACATAAACTCACGCTCACCCTCCTTGCCCAGCTCGGTCTGCATCCCAGCATGCTTTGTGCAGCAAATCAGTTGTTTCTCATAAACAATGACAGCAAATTTTGTGAAGCTGCACCATCACAGAGATGAAACTTTTCGCATCGCCTGGAATCTAACAACATTTTGTGAAACAATTCCTTCATGTCTCACAGAAAATAAACGGGGGCAAACTTCATGTCGCTTCACAAGATGGAATGTCGGCAGTGGACGGCTGCTGAAGTTAGCTCGAATACACAACAGTCTCACCATGAAAAACTATGAAAGCATCCGTATACATGTCTACCATTCTTGTAGCACTGGCCACTTCTCCGTCCAATCATATTTCCATCAAAACATGGTTGAAAAGACGTTGTTTGTAAAGTTAGCTGACGCATTCTAGCCACCACATTTATATCATCATAGTAGACCAAATCTTAAAGACACAACTGAGTATAAGGAATTAGATTGACATGGCCAAGGTTTTACCCAATAAACTGGTAGCTGAGTGTACAGATGGACCGTGGATAACGTTAGAGGAGTGTCTGTTCAGTTTTCGATACTCAAAACAAAAGTTTTCTGCGCAGTATTCAATCTCAACATCTTAGGAAAAAGTAAGTGCTAACTCTGCGGCTCCCAGAACATCCACAATGGATACAAACACATTAACAGTCCACACAAGTCCAAGCATGCTACTGAATACGAACATCTCAGATGGGCGGGGCGGGGTTGAGGGGTGGGGCTCATCTCTGATGAATATATTTATACCTATATATTGCATGTTGACTGATATGAGATATTTTACAACATCGACCTCTCAAACCGCACATCCCTCCTCGACCCGCTTCCAATAAAACTCACACCAAGGAGGAAACCCAAAGGAACAAACGAGAGAAAGTGTCTACCTTTTGCACAGGTTTCATAGCATACAATATTACATTTTGGTACTTTCAGTTTTAAATGGCCTTCTGTTGTGATATTTAAACCTCTTTAAATAAGTTCATTTAGCTGCATCCATTGTAAAACATGAGAATACTTGCAACAGTTTTAATCTTTGATACAACATATATTTTTTATCTTCTAAGATGTCTTTTTCTTCTCAAGCAAGATGCATACACAGTTAATGCAGGGTGTTTGGGGGGTAAAGGATACAGAGGTGAGACGGGTAGGAGGGGGGTGGGCGGGGTTAGGGTAAAGAGGAGACAGATGTGATTGGAGGATTTTAGCTTGTGACTTCCTCGTCTGGTTTGTTCATTGCCTTGAGCTGCTCCAGCAGGCTGGTGGGGGTGAAGATGTGGGTCGATCCTGGACACACGCACATGCATAAAACACACACAGAGACACACACACACACAAACAGAGCGTTAGATCTGCACGTGTGGAAGGAAACAGATGAAAAATGTGTTTTCAGCTCTTGCTATGATGCCTACTGTGCTGCAGATGAGGGCAGTCTCACATAATGTTTAACGTAAAGACAGAAGCGCTGAGCAACCCAAAGTTACAAAATCATAATCAATGAGCCAGCAGGTTCAAACTGATCAAAGAAGTTAAAAACTATTTCTAAAGGTGGGAGTACTGTTACTGTACTTGAGCACAAACGGCATTATCTCAGGGATACCTAGTACTCTTTATCACACTACATCCATCTTACAGCTGCAGCTTCTTGGTCCTACTTTAAAGAGTCAGTGTGCAACTCTGTAGAAAGAGTGAGAGTCACATTGGATGGCGGTTTTGTCCTAAAACCAACCCAAAGCGTCGGTTGTTGAAAGCCTGGGAATGAGACTCAGTAATCAACTATCTTTCTCCAGAACTGCATACTGTACCTTGAACAGAAGAGGTCGTAAAAAAGCTTCTCACTACTTAAAGGTTCAGTGTGCAGGATTTAGGGGCATATAGTGGCAGAATGGGAATAAGAACCACTGTGTTTTCATTACCTTAGAGTAAGCTGTTTGTATCTACATAGGGAGCGGGTCCTCATCCATGGAGTCCGCCATGTCACACCGCAATATTTCTACAGTAGCCCAGAATGGAAAAACCAAACACTGGCTCTAGATAGGGCCCATCATGCTTTCACATGGGCCACTTAAGTTAGCAGCCCCTCTGTGACGAGCCTAACAGCATTAGAAAAACACTGATTTCTAACGTGAAACTGTTTCATCTAGGGTGCCCTGCTGTGTTTGGTTCGGTTCAATAGAACTGAAGTTTGTTTGCCCCCTAAGTGCGGTTCATTTGGGCAGGTGTGAACACAGCAATCACACTCAGGTGTGCACCAAAACAACCAGACCGAGACCTTCTTGAAGAGGTGGTCTCAGTCCGGTTACAAACGAACCCTGGTGCTGTTCGTTTGTGGTGAGAACGTGTTCCGACCTGGATCTGAACCAAATGCAGTCACATGACACATTGTTTGGGTTAAACATGAGCATGTTACAGTCCTGGAGGATTATTAATGTGCGCCTCCTCCTGTACTGCCTTAATATGCACATTCAGCACATCCAATGCATCAAAACATTGTTTTCTAGTTGGAGCCGCGCCTCGTTTTCAAACTGTATGGTTTGACTAAAATGAACAATGACAGCAATATAGTCCACGATGAGCAGCGCTAAAATCAACCTGCGTAGTTGTCCCTCCATTGTGACATTAGAAAGTGTCACATTTATCTTGCAAGTGTACTCTTCTTCAACGTTTGCTTTACTTCCTGGATTTTTCCCACATGGAAATTCTGACCAATCAAGAGCAGCTTTCTCACACAAGGCATTTGATCTGGTCCGCTTGTAAATGCTGCCGTGAGAACATGAACCAACTCTAGGCAATTATGCAACTTTGTAATAAAATTCATCCCTGATTTGAACCAAGGCAAGCAAACTCCAGGTCTGAAAGCACCTTAAGTGTTATTTTGTGGCTTAAACCACCGGGTCCGTTTGTTTTTGAGAGGAAGAGACCTCTGCGGATTATTCTGCTCCCGTAACAAACCTCCTCAATGTCTAGATCTTAAGTTATCAGAGAGAAAAGGTGAGCACACATTAGCAGGTGCTATGTTAGCAGCCTGTCTGCGAATAGCAAAATAGTGTTTGAGAAGCATTGATTTGTAACATGAAACTACTTTATTCAGTGTGTTTACTAGTTTAAATCACATGGTCAGTTAGTTTTAGAGAGGAAGAGGCCTCTGTGGATGATTCGGCTCTTGGTAAAAACCTCCTGAACAATGAACACTAAAGGAATTCTAACCAGGAGAAGTTCCAGCTGGTTGCAATCTGCAATCCTCACCACTAGATGCCACTAAATCCCACACACTGCTCCTTTGAGAGACGCCTGTCAGCCTGTAGAAGAACATGTACTCTTAACTAATCTGAAAGTGAGAAAAACCCAAATCTAGAGGCATGACTTAAACTAGATTTACTGGACAGACTGAAATACCTCAACTGTCCATATCTATTTATTTCTAATTGATATTCATTTCATTCCAATCATTTATCTACACATCTCTTGATTTGTCTGTGCAAAGTACCATGTAAACATCTTCCACCTCTGACAAGAACTCTCGAGTCCTTAAATCTACAAACATACAGCCAGATAAAAACTCATGACATGAATCCATGTTAAATCACATGCAGTTAAACAATATGGAAGCACACAGATCAGTGATGGCGCCACACAACTGTCATGAATCTGAAAACTAAAAACAGCAGATGGGCTTCTAGAAAATCCTGCAACACCAAACCTGTCTAAACAGCACAGCCAATCAGGTGTTAGAAAATGTGCACATGACCGTGTGGGCCTTTAATTAAACAGCATGCAGACAGCTGAGAAATACTTTTAAGAAAAGCAAAAAAAAAAAAAAAGCACCAAAAAGACAAAAGCAGATCTTCTCTACATGTCATGAAATCCCAAACCAGAGAGTTAGGTCTACTGTCTCTTATAAATATGAGTGAAAATGTGAAACTCAGTAACCCTGGTAACACAGATTGTTTTGACAGCTGAAGACACATTTCAGACAGAGTAAAACTTGAAAGGTGTTAGACTGGAGTAAAGCAAACTTCTCACCAAATTTGCCAATTTGGGTAATTTCTGCCATCTTAATTTTTTCTCATACAAAAAGGCACAAAACATTTGATTTACTCCTCACACCTGTCCAACATCATCAACAGTATTTGACCTTCATTGGTTTGTTTCTGTTGCAAAGCTGCGTGTTTCCTCCTGTTTGGTTTGATTAGCTGCTTTACCTCAAAGACATTCACCTGCAGTGAAACTAAACTGGACCCTGTGAGGGGTCACAACAGGAAGTGGAGGTAAAAACAGAAGAGAAAGAGGCAAGCCCATCTCGAGTTGGGTCGTTTTGGTGATGCGGGGGTCGAGGGGTCGGGGGTGGGGGTTTAGTGTGGGCCACAGAGGTCAACGTCGGACTGGCCTCGCCTGCTTCTCTGCTGTTCCCTAAACACACAGCTTCGTGGGCCTTTATGCCACAGAAACACAACACTGTGACGTTGATCTCCAACGCCATTACATTGCTGTACATGGCTAGGTTTAGACCAAAATAGCATAACAAAAACAAAGACTTGTTTTAGTAAGTGATGGCCATTTTGCTCAGGAAGTGTTGAATGCAGCAGTATGAGGGGGAGCGGCCATACTGCTTATGGTGAGAGCTGCTTACTGAGAAAACCAGAAAACCAAAAGTTGGTTCGTAAACGATATCGCTTTAGCAGATTAGTTGGGAATGAGATGGATGCCCAGGTCTACAGTATTCAGTCTTTAGTTGGTGAGTGTGTGTTGAAAAGTAGCCTTGCTAATACTTTACAGAAACAGGCGATTAGGTGGTCATGGACATTTATGCAATTATTTGTGGGTTATTTGTTACCTCCGCCAAGGAGGTTGTGTTTTCAGAGTTTCCGTATAGTTATTAGTTAGCAGGATTCTCAAAAACTTCGATAAAATTCAGTGACATTTGATTGAAGCTAAGCCGTGGTCCAAGAAATAGCTGAACAGATTTTTGGTGTGTATGCTCAGCACTACCCCAACAGGCAGCCCTTTCTAATGGGTAACTGAACAAAGAGTTATACTCTCTTCAAAGCCAGACTCCAATGACCAAAACAGTCATTTTAACCTTGCTGAACACAGGAGCTGCTGCCTTAAATATCAATACGACAACCTTGACCATTCTCTTAGTTTTTATTGTCTCTGTTAGATGACACACACTTTTAGTAATGTGTGGATCATCAAGCGTTTAAAAATCTATATTACATTTAACTGGATTATGTTAACTCCATATATTCTGATCCCTATTTGGAGAAAAAAAGTGTCACAAAGCATTGTTCCTGTGGGCTACAGCAAATCTAAACCCCTGAGCTTGCCTGAGAAGGACAAAATGCACAAACCCGCTATTTTTAAATATCCCATAGAGAGAGACTCTCACTGCAGTCTGTTCTATTTTGATCTGAAAATGTTGACGTGCAGCCTTGTTCTGTGGACGATAAACGAGGTGCAGACTTCCATCTGTGTCTCCAGTCATGAGGAAATACAACAACCCCGCCCACATTTAAGAAAACTGTTTACAGTGGAAATGCTAAATGAACCTAGGGTATAGGTAGCATGTCTTAGGGGTTATTAGTGTTTCCAAAGGAACCATACAGAAAGTGTGAAGTGGAATCGAGGCTTAACAAATCAAGACAGCAGTAAGCCAACAGTTCCCATGTTCATCTAAATAAAATGAGTGTTTTGGTCAATGGAGTCTTGCTTTGAAGAGAACATAGATGAGATTCACTTTGAGTTCAGCTCCTTATTGGAAAAACAGCTGTCTGTTTGGGAAGTACTGAGCATACGACTGTAAAAATGAGAATTGGATTATAATGCCTATTTGTGTGAGAGTTTGTAAACAGACATAGATTTGCTGTTTGATAAACGCAAACTCCTTTTATTTTTATTGATCGACAATTTTCTCTGTTTCTGAATTCTTCGTTCACCGTGGAGGCAAGAGAGAAAAACAACGTTTTTATCATAAATTCAATTGAATGCTAAGTTGAGTAATTGATATACAAATGGTCAATGTGTGTGTGTGTGTGTGTGTGTGTGTGTGTTTGTGTGTATATAGAATTGGACCCAGAAGCAGATTAAAACATTTTGTGTATTATCAAAATAGCTAATTTCAAGGAGTGTCCGGGCTTGGTGGAGGTGTGTGCTCTTTAAGTGCTTTCTAGTTGTACAGAGGTTCTACTGAATGTAGTATTTGTATCTGAGTTTCTGCAATAAGCTGAAAACTGTCTGCTAGTTGTGACTGGTGTAAAGGATGGGTTTTGGAAGACAGGAAGCGTCTCCTACATTTGGGGAGGGTTGGATTAGTGGCAGCTGTTTGACATGTGTGGCATCTTTACTTTTTATTTGGTTGCTAAAGCATATCAGGTGGAACAATGCTACATTCCCAGGCTGTGTCAGCAGAAAGGCATCAGAGGGGCACTGATACAAAGAGCAACTCTGTGGGCAACTGTACTTGAATTCTTCTACAATTATTACTGTTACCTTACCTGACTGATTTCCATCTACGTTGCCCCCAAAATTGCCCTGTGTGTCAGCACCCGGAGAGTATTATTGTAATAAAGGTGATCTGTTGCTAATATTTTGCCCCCTCTGCGGACGAGCCATGAGCCATGTGAGCATGTGATGGTGGACTGAGAGAAAGTGACGTGGACGGAGTCAGAGGACTGGGAGTCAAAAGAAAGAAAAAAAAAACACAAGTAAAAAAAGGAGAAAAAAGGAGAGGATCCTTCTTTGAAATCCAACATCAACTCAAGGACCTGTCCGTATGTGGAAAAACCAGTAACAAATCAAGGTGATTGTCTTTGCGAAGGGTTAATTAGGAAAATAATCAGACAGTAAAAACTGATAAAGATGGATCTCCGGGGTAGATTAAATCTGGAGTCAGTGTTCAACAGGCTCAAAGGGCCTTTGGGTGGCTGTCGGGGGGTGATTTAATCCACCCAGCTGAGATGATGGGAGGAGGCAGCAGGGATGGGGTCACGACCCCCTCAGACATGGCCGCTCTTCAGCACAGACTTTAAGTGGGCTGAATCCAAATATCCACCCTGTGGACTCCAGGGCCCTCCAGACTGGGCCCACTGGACTTCGGCCATATGCACTGTGGCCACAAGATGGCAAAGCAACATACGCCCCTGATAAGAGGAGCCTAGCACACATTGTTTTTTAAGTTTTTCTTCTACATATTTCTAAAATACTGAATAGTTAAATATTGTTCCTACATGCAGCCCAGTACCCAGAGAAAAATGTTGGCATTGTAAGTTTCTGCAATCAGGATTGGTTGAATGTGTACATTTCATTGGTATCATATAAACAATTCTACGAGTGACATAATTCAGATTACATGTATATGAGCTGACTTTGTCATCAGGAGGTGGGGCAACTAGGTGAGATGCCTGCCAAGCTGCAGACCACTGCTTGAGACCAACAAATAAGTAAGCCATTGCTGCCTTCCAGCAGCATATTAGCCACCAAACGTGGGTGTTTTTAGGCTACCCACTGCTGCATTTCCCGCTGTGATAGTGCCACAAAAAGCATCTGTTTTTTTACAGAGGCACTGCTGCATTTCCAGGTGGGATTGTGCCACCAAAACTGGGGATTTTAAGCCAGTGGTTCCCAACTGGTGCAACAACAGGGTCCATATTTCTCCCCACTCATTAGTGAAGGTCCCACAGTTCAATACATTCAGTGTCATACTTGTGTTTGGCCATGTTGTCAAGCTAGTTTGCTGTCTCTGTTAAGTAGATGTCCGTTAGTTAGTCACTCTACAGCAGAAAACAGCACTTCAAAATAAAAGCTCTGTGCTGGAATGGGCCTGCAACCCTCTTTTGGACTGCAAACCACCAGTCTAGAACCATTGTTTTAAGCCAAAACATGATCTTTTCCTAACCATAACCAGGTGGTTTTTGTGCCTAAACCTGACCACACGTTAACCACAGCATTGTTAAATTCAAGGTATTTGTGGTTTGCAGAAACATACAATGCCAACATTTACTCTGGTGATTTAGTTGCTACATGATGCAAGATTACTTGCATCTCATCTTATTTGTATGTTTCATATATTTAGAGTTCTTTTTGTTCTTGTTGTCTCTTCCATGTGAAAAAAATGATGTCACATTCTCATTGCAAATGAAGTCCGGTGAGGTCTGCACCCGAAGCAGATGCTCTCCGCAGAAAGACCACATCTTGCTAACTTGTTGAGTTGTGGATTTGGACCGTGGACATTTGGATTCAGCCTTCTCATAGGTACAACAGACATGTTAAATCTGATTGAATATCAGGCCTCCCACTCTGATTGGCTAACTCTCAGTATACAGGGACTAGAGCCTGAAGGAGCGATCCACACACTGAGGAAAGGTTGGTGGGTGCCCATCCCTGAGGGACACAGTAGGGTGGAGTTACATAAAACAGTGCTGGGTGTTCAAAGAAGAAGAAGGAACAGGGAGGAAGCCCTTGTGCTGCGAAGGTTCAGAAAGGGCTTCTTTGTGCGGCTGCCTTTACTTTTTTCAGTGTGATTTCTCTCTCCCTCCCTCCCAATCTGTCTCTGCCTCACTCGGCTGTGGGTTCTGCGTCCTCAAAGGACACCCTAGTGGACTCTCGGAAGTCGGGGTGCTGCAGGTCCGATAAGAATTTGGTGGGGGTGAGCATGTGGGTGGAACCTGTGGAGGAACAGAGGCGGCTTCACCACTCGTCTCTCAGCACATGCCACGCCCCCTCCCCCACTCTCTCCAAAAAACAAAAGGGTTAAAAAAGACAAGCAACCTGTCGTACAGTACACACACACACACACACACACACACACACATACATACATACACACACGCAGAGACACACTCGTCCACTGACAGTTCACACACGCCATGTTGCACAGACACAAAGAAACGCAGAGACACAGAAAAAGACATGGCGTGGCTGCAATTTAAAGACAACAGTTGTTTTTAAAGACAACAGCTGAAGCAGAGCACAACAAAAACTAACAGGACACTTTCCCATTTAGAACACAGACTGGCTGCTGAAGCTTTAAGACATCAAATAAACAGTACAGAGGGGCATAACATAAAGGGCTAATTTAACATAACACATTGCACACAGTAGGCAGGCTGTAACAGCTATCTGCAGCTAGACCCTCCACAGACTTTACACAAGGGTACATTGAACTGACTGTTGAAGGATTTGGGATTCATGATGTGGTTGCACGACAGTCCAAAAGGAGATAAGGCTGTCCTACATGAGCTGTGTTGTGGGTGGCTTCTGTTATGCAAAACATGATTTGTCATTCTGCATTTAAAAAGTTAAAGTTTTTATCTTCATACCTTAGTAAACCTGTAATATCAAACCATAATTAATTTTGTTTGAATTATTTTTATTAAGTCTAGCTTGTTGTTTGTCAGTGACTGTCAACTTTTTGTCTATCGTTTTGTTCTAAACTCTCGTATAATCGTCTTAATGCTCGCTTCAACAAAGTGCAAATGAATTCCAGGAAGTCATTCTTTAACAAAATGGCATTATGGTGACAAAAGTTAATTTAATTTTGACCCATGTTTAAAGAACAAAAGCAGACTGATAATTGTGTCGTGAAGACTTGCAGTTCTACCTCTGGCTTCAACTGTCCATTCACTTCACTTCCTGTACTTCCCTCCCATGTTTCTCCTTCCATTCCATCTTTAATTTTTTTGAGCTGTGTCCTGGTGCAGAAGCTTTGTCTTTCTGTGTCCCTCAGAAAACCTAACTTAGTCTGAACATGCTGGTCAAACCTCACACAGTCTCACAGGACGTGGCTCCTGAATCAGGACACAGGTTTTATTTGCTTTTACACTTCCTATAACAAAAAATGGTAAACTGTGTATTACTTAAATATTTCACTGCCCCTCTCAGGTTGTAGGTTTCAAGGCTGCTTCACCTCTGACCACACCCAGCATCACTGATACGTGATCTTATGCTTCAGCAAGGTAAGAAGTTAAACCACTGGAGGTCAGCAAACACTACATTTTCAGGGGGTGTTGAGTTACTCATCAGGGTTGTCACAGGTGCATCTTGAAGGTGTACGGCCAAAACCTACGACTATGAACACTCCTTCTTGATCTGGGCCTGCGCTCAGCGGCGCCTTCTGGTGCACTACTCACCAATGACAGCCTCCCACTTCCCATTGGCCTGTGTGACCTCGTAGGCGCAGCGCATCTCGCTGAAGGACACGCCGCCAATGATGAAGACCATGACGCGAGGCCCAGTGCGGTACTCTCCAGGTGTCTTATTCTTGTGCCAGTGGCCGTACCGAGCACTGAAAGGAAACATGCACATATTGTCACAGTTTTTAAAGCTTGTTTTTTTCCTTTATCTTGGCAAACTAATATTGGTTTTTTTTTATTTTCACTTAAATCTTTATAAGAACAATTTTTGTGACTTTGACATGTCAGTTAGAGCATGATAAAATAGTTGAAAAATAATAAGAGCGAACAAAACAAAAACTGCTTGGGTAAATACACATTTTACATTAGTGTATCTACTGATTATTAATCCAGTCCAGTGTCGTCTTTTTGAGTCTTGTATAGAGTCCATTTCTCCCATTTTCTTTCTAGTTGTGCTTCTTAGTGTTCTTAGTATGTCTCAGTATGCATGTTCATTTCTCCATTAAAAAGATTTCTTTCAAAAATGTTAGCCATTAGTCCTTTGTTGGTGGTGTTTCTTTACCCCACTTTCTTGTGATAGCTTTCTTGCTTGCTACTAGCAATTTTTTTATCAAATATCTATCACTAGCTATGACATTTTCTTCAGAAAATTTACAAAAAAAAAAATGACTCAAACTGCATAACTGATTTTCAAATAAGCTGGCAATAATAAGCTTGACAACTAATCATTGCAGCTCTAGCTGACATAAATAAGATACAATAATCTGACATGATAAAAATGCACAAAAAGATATGCAAGTCCCGAGGTTATTGAAGTTACCATAGGACAGGGTTCACCCTGACTTTTGCTTGTTAGACACACACACATTTGCTTTTCAGTCTACATACAGGCTGCTGCTGGCTTGTTGGAGGCTGCACACACTCCGGTAGGAAGCTCTGCAGCCTGCAGACACGGCTCAGAGAGCATTATCATCCACTTGGTGCTACAACTGAACATTACTAACAGCTACGGCAGAAAAGAAACAGTGCTTTTGGTAAAAGTTAGCTTCTAAAATTTGATAAAGACAGCTGATGAATCGAGTTCATGCTCTTTGTTTTAGGTGCGGATATTGTGAATGTAGTTATAATTTGAATTGAGAATGTGATGCTTATTCTTATGTTGTACCACCGATATAATGGACGGTTGGTTAAACTGCAGTATCAGAGGTTTCATCTGCATCTGTGTAGCTTTCTTTTGACTAACCCACGTGTCCTAATATGATCCTTGGTACTGGGTGTATTTGTGGAGGAGGGGCAACAAATGAGGCAGATCAGTTTGTAACCGGAGAGGATCTGATGCTGAATCAATACACAGCAGCCACGTCCACACAGGCTGGAGTGTGAACGCATGTGGCTCAATGCAGCTTTAGCTCTCCCTCTAATCGTCAAACACACTCACACACAAGTGTGGTTGGAAATATCAATGACTTGTATTAACGTCAGCTTGCTTATTTTTGGTGTTTGAGTTGGTGCGCATTTTTATTATTATTCCAGCTGTGATTGTTTGTGTATTGTCTTTTAAAAACGTTATGTTGATGTCATGTGAAGAAGTCATGTGCATGTCTGAGCTCCGGTAATGTCTCCCATTTTTGCAGAAGGATTCGTATATGGCTCACTAACCTGACAGTCATCAACATCACCACCCTGCTCTCAATGTTTCTCAACTATTGATCCATTAGGTTCATATCCCTTCCCAAATTACTATTGATCTACCACCATTTCTGTCTTTCTGATTTACCACGCAATGAGATGCCACACTGTGTATATGTATATACAATATATATGCACGTGTGTGTGTGTACCTGACTGCAGTAGTGCTGAAGGAGGCAGAGGAGCGGGTGGAGATGTAGGGGTAGTGCTTGGTGTCCAGCTTATCATCAATAGCATCCTGCAGGGGCACAAACAGACAAAACAGATCTTTGTCAGCATTAACGCCTGCCTTAAACACACAGCCACAAACACACTTCAATAGGGGCTTTACAGTTGTGTCATGTCTCTTAGCAACCACGTGTGCTCCATCATGGAGGTCCATTGGAGAATTGGCTTTGCACAAATAAGGAGCTAAATATAGCTGATGATAACCAGGCTGGGAAAACAGATGTTTGACTGAGATTGTTGTGTATGTACGTCAACTGAAAAGTGAAAAAATAATTCGCTTAGATTAATTAGTTTGTTGTTTTTGGAGCCTTGCTTGAGGAAAAAACATTGTACACGTTTGTGAAACTGAAAAGTGGTGATCATCCAATATGACCGCTGAACTGCAGGTTAAACAAGGTCTTCTTTGTCTTGAACACACACAAAAACAGTTAAACACACCTCCATGATGTCCTTGACCAGTGGTGTCCAACGGGACAGCTGATAGGTCTGCTCGCTCACACGCTCCTTCCTGTCCAGCTTCTTTCCTCGGCGGAGGGTGGACTGATGAAGGAACAAAGAAACAAGGAAATGAAAGAGAAGTTTTTAGGAAAAAGCTAAAAGCATTAGCGAGATCTGGTTCACACTATTTGGTCCATACACTGTATAGCAACTAACGTGATGAATAAGAAGTAGAGGAGTAAAGATTAAGAGGGCACATCAGACTGAATGAGATGACAGAGAAGAGGATGAAAAAGAAGAAGAGCACCACCCAGTGAGGATCTTACATCTGTGACGATGGGGACGCCCAGGTGAGCCATGTTGGTGATGATCTCACTGTCCTCAGGGGGGATCTGAGCGTGTTGGATAAGCTTGTTCAGGTTCTCCTCCGTAATGCCTGGACACACACAGACACACACACACAGGTTATATCTTATTATATGTTTACATTTAATATGTTCAGCTCGTTCTGGGATCAAAGGGAATTCATGTTTTTGTAACTTGAGTGAAAGAATAAAATTGTTTTATTAAAACTGAAAACTGACATTTATACCTCCAATACAATCCTTAAATATAACAGATCATTATAGCTGTGCAGAACTGTCAGGTTATGTCTGATCAAAGAAGTTATCTGGCTTTTACTGAATCCGTTCTTCTGTATCCTGTGAATTACTTTTTAACAGACTTGTGCTGAACAGCTGACTAATTAAGTAGTAGTTAATTTTTTTCATTAGCTGGTAGATATTAAAGAAGCTCTGTGAGATTTTCAGAGTATGAGTTGTCTGCATTTGGTTCTCAACATAGACATGGATGAGCTGGCAGCTGAGAGCTTACGATACTAACTCGATAAACAGTGCTAAATAACAGCAACAGTACTGACAGATCAAAAGGTGTTAACCAGGGAGTAACCCAACCAACCACACAGAAGCTCGAATTACCAGATTAATGGAGCTGTACTCTGGGCATTTTCATACATTTCAAGAGGTCAGTGTATGGTAAAGATATGCTATTACTTATTAAGTAATTCAGTAAGTAAGTAAGTAAGTAGGTACACAAGTAGGAAGTGATAAAATAAAATAAACAAAACAAAAACGAAATGGTGCTTTTACAGGGACAGAAAGCAGCACAGAGTTTTACAAACTTGACTTGTGATTTATTTTTGTCGGCTGCAGTTTCCTCCTTACCATTCTTGAGGAAAATGTAGAGCAGGATGATGCGAATCTTGTCATACGTGCTGACGTTGGCATCCAGCAGGATGGGCACAATAGCCCTCATGGGGTCTTTGATCTTCTCTCCCTCAGCATCTGTGCCCATAGCCAGATCCTGCAACAGATCACTCAGGCTTTATATGATGTCTGTTGTTTAAAATAATTCTAAACCCTCAAATACATGTTTCAAGCAATTGTGATAGCATTTTATTTTCGATTACTGAGGATTTCAGAAATCGCTGTCATTTATCTGACCAATACTCTCTTCCTTTCCTCTCATCTCCTCATTTCCGCTCCTATCGTCTTTTCTTATTTTCTCTTTGCTTCTTGTTTCCTCTCGCCTGCCTCCTCACCTGCTCCACACGGCACAGCTTGTCCACTGTTCCCTGGTAATGCTTCATGCAGTCCTCAGCCAGCTGCAGGTGAGTGGAGTACTAAAAAACATAAAACACACAGGGTCAGCATACACATTTACACACACAGGGAAACTCACACACTCTCACAAAAACACCAACATACCTTGCTGAGCTCCTTCTGGTACTGAGGCATCTTCTTTAGCATCTGGGACAGATCCCTCATTGTGGTCTGTTGAAACAAAGCAAAAGAGTGTGATGATGTCCACATCAGTACAAGACAATCATTAAATAACTATTGATGACAGACCATATTTATGCTGGACTTTGGTCTAATCGCAGAGTTTAGTTCTATTCTTTAAAAACAGAGACAGCTCAAAGCATGTTTTAAAGGAGCTGTGTGTGACATTCAGAGCATTGGTAAAGCAGTAGACTATTTGCTATGTAAAGATAAACTGGAGTAATGGCATCCTGAGCAGATAATGAAATCACGCTTGCTGTATGTGTGTTATAATCTGAGCTTCTCTGTGGTTTGTTGTGGTAGACAGTTGGGCCGCACGTGTATGTTAGCACATGCGAGTCCCTGTGTATGTATCCCACTAGCTAGCTAACGACTAGCACTCTGCAATGCCCGCATACGGCAGTTGCCACGGAGAACACCATCCAACCCGCAGTGGAGGAATAGCATCATCACAGAGGCGTAGCACCCACCCTTCAGTCCCCCTGAACACTGTTGGCTCTGTCAGCACTGTTGCTGTTGTCAGCATTGTTCACGCAGTAAGCACCGTTAGCTGCTAGCCTTCGGCTCAGCCCATCCCATGTTGAGAGCTATGTGCAGACAATCTTGGCTCGGACTCCGAATCATAGATATGTTCTGAATGTCACATACAACTTGGATGACCAACTAGTTTTGAACAAATTTAAAAAATATTGAATTATGAGTTTGACGTAATTATGATTGCCATTTATGACAAATTTCAAATGGAAACAAAAAGCAATACAGACGAAAATAAATACATTAAATTTAATTCTGGTCATGTTTTCTCAACATATTTAAAGGAACAGGCCAACATATTGGGGAATGAGTCGCTAGCTAACGAACCTGACTAGCCAGGTAATAAAATCTGCATACAGGCTCCTTTAAAACTCACTATATTAGCTTTATCTTATTTGTTTAATCCATTCAAAAAAACGCAAACAAACAAGCAGCGGTTTAACCAGACAAGCTGTTACCAGTCTTTATGCTAAGCTAAGCTAATCACCTGCTGATTTTTGCTTGATATCTGATGGAAAGACATGAAAGTGGTAACGATCCTCTTATCTACCTCTCAGCAAGACAGTGAATAAGCCAATTTCCCAAAATAGTTGATCTCTTCACACAACATTGGGAGTTTTTGAAGAATAAAGAATGTATCCACCACGTGCAAACGTAGTACTAATATGTGGGCAATCCTGTACGTTCAGACTGTATCAGCATTTCCTGCAGCAGCTTCCTCTTTACCTTCTCTCCAGTGTTCATCCTCTTGCTGGCAGAGAAGTCCTTCAGCTGGCGGGTCACTTCCCTAATAAAACACGAGCAGCCAAGGAGAAGCAGAAAGGATGTTAGATCCTGTAATTCAGTATCCAAAGACTGAGTGAAGAGATATGAAGAGGTAAGAGGAAATGTACTCACTGGGACACCTCAGCTATGTGTTTGTGTCTCAGGCTCACCCACAGGTCATCGTCTTCATGCAGCAGAACTTCCTTCTCACGAGAGTCTCCGATGCCGCTGGTCTCATACCTGAAAAAAGAAGACATACATCCTAATTTAGGTTCAAATATTTGATTGGAGCTGATATGAACATTTTAAACAAATATTCTACTTGCTGCAGCTTTTATCTATACCTTAATAAAAAGAGAAACATAGCAATCACAAGTAATTGTTGTTGTCAATTGTTTTTTTCTTACTTGTAGACGTCGTTTTCGATGGGCAGCAGGTCGTAGCCCATGGCCTGGAAGGTGAGCTCATGCAGGACAGGAGAGACGGGGTCAAACGCCCTGTCCAGGATGATCAGCTGTGAGCGAGCCTTATCTGGACCCTACAGAGAAAAAGGCGAACAGATGCAGGAACGAAAGGAGCGATAAGATAAATATACATATATGATGTTATACACAAACAGTTAATATGACCATTTTGAAGTGCATTCTCAGTAATGTAGAATTCAATTCAACTTAAACTACTCAAATAAGTATTTTGCAACAAGAATATGAGACAACACGTAAAAACAAAGCAAATCATTAAGAATACAAGGGGACAAAAAGTAATTTCTCCCAAGCTCACCTCTCCCATAGTGGGGTCATCAGCCTTGTAGGCGTCCAGTTTGTCCTGAACCAGCTGGGCCAGGGTGGCGTTGTCCTTGTACTCGCTGACACAATGACAGATAGATGGATGGGTGGGTGGATGGTCAGATGTACAGACAATGTAAGCATATGGAGGTAGACAGAGAGACAGAGAGTCAGATGAACATAGACAGAAGGGAGAAAGACAGACCCAAGGACAAATGTTCAGGCAAGCAGATGAGACAAAACAAAAAGAAAAGACAGTGGAAAATATTAATTAAAAACCTTGGAAAAAAAAACAGTGAGAGGATATGAGTGCCAGGTGTGTAACACCTCTGTCCTTGCAGCAGATCCCAAAGGACATATACTGATAACACCTAATCTGTATTATGGAATGCAACACAATATTCCTCATCCCTGTGTTGTTTTTTTGAGAAGATGTGAAATACATCTATACATTAAATAAAACAACACAAAATGAGGAAAGACAAGTTTTTCATTTTGACCAAAAGACTGAATATTTCTTTAATCTGCAGGGTTTGACGAACCATCTCACATCCTCACTGTAGTACCTACAGTTAACTTTAACACAACATGTTGACTGCCAAGTCTATTCTGTTTTTTGTCTTGGGCACTATTCTGCACAACACTTGAAAAAATTATTCATGGGGTAAATGGATAATGCTTAAAATAAAGTCTAGAATTTAAAGTTTAAATAAAGATTTTTTTTAGCATAAAGAATACAATAGTTTCAACTTATTTTAAGAAGTTGGTCAAAATAAAAAACATTTTAGACATTTTTTGAGTAGGATGGAGTCAAAACAAATTAGTCAGAATATCTTAAATAAAATGGTTTGACCACTACATATCCACACAACTTTTGGTTACTTATTAAGTTGATTTAACTTAATTAAGTTTTTCGAGGTCAAGGCCGATCATGTTGGTTGTACTAAACTACATGGGTTTGTCAGAATATAAATGTTGAATCAGTGGCATCGTTAGGCATGGGCGTCCAAGAATACAGCCCTGAATGTTTTATGAGCAGCTCTGGACTTTTCAGATCCTTTTAGTGACTTGCTGTGGAGTAAACTCAGTCATCGGCTCCTCTGGCAGCAGCACAATCTCTCCCCCACACCTCTTTATGTTGTGTGTACACAAGAGTCAGCATCGCCAGGTTATTTTGTCACGAGCCTGTCAGTATATAAGCCTGTGTGAAGCTTGACAAAAAAGCTAATGTTTAAATGTTAAATAGTTATCATGACATAACAGCCTGTAAAAATAAATGTAGGTCTGTGCATGTGTGTGCGGGGGTGTCTGATGGTCAGCGCTGAGTAGTCTCGCTCACCAGACCTTTCTCAAGAAAAGAAAGGTCTGGCTGGGCCGACTCTCACTTTAAGATTGGAGAAAAAAACGCCCCGGCTGCTTGTATTTCTTTCAACCAATCACAATCATTCTGGGCGGTGCCACAGCAACAGTGCGCTTGCAAAAATATTGCCAGGGGGAAACAGGTTTTGGTATAACACGCCCACAAAAATATCGCCTACAGGACGCGAACCATGGCAGAAAAATGGCTACATCCCCGCAAAATCAAACACCGCAAAAGTTAGTAAAGGACGTGTTGAAAACGGTTGAAAACTGCTACACAACCGGAGGTGGTAGGGCGGGATTTCAGCGGGTGGCTCGTTCCGCCCAATGAGAGGCTGATCTATGCAGCGAACTTCCCCCCACTCAGACTAGCGCTGAGTGACACATCAGGAGGAGCAGAGGAGGAAATGACAGAGTATGCAGGTCCAGATGGGAAAAAAATTAAAACTCATTTTTTCAGATTTCTCCTCAAGAGAAAGGAGGAAGTGTAAGAAGTTTGCCTGTGCAGTCATTTTTAATAATTTAAGCATTATGTTGAAAGTGTATGTTCTTGAAGTTAACGGAAAAACACCCTGTATTTTTTAATCACAATATCAAATATTGTGAAATATCGTGACATTATTTTAGGGCCGTATCGCACACCCCTAGCCTGCACCCACAGCTGCCTCTCAGCAGCGCCCGATGCTGCTCACCCTCGGTATCTGACGGCAGGGTACTCCTTCAGAGTGGCACAAAGCGTAGCCAGCTGCTCAGCCAGCCTCTCCATCACGGGGTTCTTCAGCTGGGTCTTATGGGGGCTGTAGAAACTGTGGAAGGCATCTGGATTGTCCAGAGAGTACACCTGCACACACAAACATAGACACAAATTCAACTTTGTATCAGAAAAACACACTTTACTGCCTTCTTGCTTAGATGGATCTGATTTTTCACCTTCCTACACCTTTTGTTAACCTTGGGGCGGGACGGATTTCAAGATGTAAAGGCTGATTTGATCATGTCAACAGATTTTCAGTGTCATGGAGACTTTGATCTGTGCTGTGTGAAATGCAGCAGGTCACAGAGGACACACAGCATGTTATCTTACTGTAAAATAATGAGCTGGAGGTGTTGTGATAATATCAAACAGATGATTTACATATTCTCTCCGCTTGTGTAATCTCTTGTTTATCATCATTGTCTCAGCTCTCCTTTAAACTCTGTCCTCTCTCATATTCTTCTCTCCTCTGTTAATTCCTTAGTTCTCTACTTCATATCCTTTTCTCCTTTTCCACTCCTGTCGTTTCCCCTCCTCTCTTCTTCTCTCCTTTAATTTCCTCACTTTCTTCTGTCATGTCCTCATCCTTCTGTCTTTCCTTTTGTCTTATCTCCTGTCCCTTTTCCTCTCCTCCCTCAAATCTGTTTTTGTCCCCTCATCTCTCCTCCTCTTGTGTCCTGTCAGTGTTCCTCTCGTCTCCCATCTTTGTCTACTCTCTTCTCTCCTTCCCTCTCCTCTATCTCATTTGTTTGTGTCCTCTCCTCTACTCTACTCTACTCCTCTTTCCTTGTCTCCTCTCCTCTCCTGCATCACTCACTACCACTCCCTCCTCCCACACCATCTGTCTACAATCACATGACCACACTTCTGCTCTGCAGAATGGTCCCTATGTTATCTCAGCAACCATTGGCTGCCGCATGCTGTGTGGACCCTTACTCGTCCAATGGGGCGAGAGCATCAGCCTGTAGGCGGGACTGTGAGGCAGCACTTTGCCTGGAGCAGAAAACCACTGACTCTGAATTAATCAGAGTAGACAGGAGGGGAGCAAAGCATTGTGGGCTGAGCAGCATCTTCAGATAGTGAGCGAGAGAAGGATGGACAGGAGGAGAGATGTGGGAGATAGAAAGAGTGGGGGTGGGGTGGAGGGAGGGAGGGACGGGAAAATTAGGAAAAATATGGTTGTAGAAAGGGAGAGAATACATATAAAGAAAAAATAAAAAGCTTGAATGCAAGCAGTGAGCAAAGAGAGCACAAGCGACGTGCAGAAGCAGGGATGCAGGAATGGCAGGCAAGAAAAACCTGCAAACAGACAGAGGGAGGGAGAGAGAGAGAGAGAGGGGGGGAAGAGGAAAAACACGACAAAGGCAGAAATTTGGAAATATAGCGAGGACTGAGGAGTGGTAGGGAGTGAAGGAAGGTGATGTGACAAATTTGAGTCTTGCTGGAAGAGTCTGGCGGTAAACAGAGTGACTGGTGAGTCAGCAGCATCGTGCCAAGCGACCACCTGAGTGTGTATTTGTGTTTTTCTCTCCTCTCTCCGTATAACAAGCAATAACCTCCCTGTTACTATTCCTGGCTACGTCCTTTGCAGCATCTCCCTCCTCCCACCTGTCTTAATCGATCTCTTGCTGCTGTTCGGACTTGTGCTTTCTATCTCTGGATTTCTCTCTCTGTCTCTCTGGTTGTCCATCACAGTCACTGATAAACAGCAAAAATAAATCAGCTTTCATTCATTGCCCTGTCTAGAAACGGGGAAAAAAGCCAGGGGCCAGAACAAGTCCCATCTGCGAACACCAGAGTAGCCATCACTACCCAACACAACAGCTGGATACGTACCTGAGACTCGTAGGGCAAGAAGGCAATGTTGATCTCCGTCAGAGTCTTGATGGTTTTGGAAGCGCGGCTTTTCACCAGCTCGTTGAAGAGAGGATCAGGGCAGGCTGGAAGGAACAGAATTATAATTAATATAAGGCATTTTAAAACAACTTTGCAAAATGTTTCTAGAAATGAGAGAAAACATACATTCAATCAACAAGAAGGGACAATGTGAGGATCTCCGTGCACTGTTCATTAATCACATTAACCAGTTTAATCACAGATACAACCTGTTTTGGTTGCAGCACCTGACGACATCCCCAAACCCATTTCCTCTCAGCTCACTGTTGATGCTTTGAAAAATTAACGCCCGGCCTTACAAACAGTGAGCTGGGAGGAAACTGGTAGGATTTAAGGACATTATCGGGCGCTCTAACACCAATGAGCAGTGTGCCGACAAATATATAAAGACGGACAAGAAAGCAGTTTATCTATGAAGGAAACAGCCGCAAGGAGCCGAGAAAACAGCCACAGAAAACAACACAATAACAGATTGAACAAAGAGAAAATGGGAAAAAGCAAAAAGCACAGAAAACAAATGATTGAACATTTTGCAACACAAATATGTTTTAAAACAAAAGTAATGTATTACACACAGTAATGCTGAGACAAGTCTTTGTGTATACTCACAGTCAGTGAAGAAAACATGGGCTGCCTTGTACTTAGCTGAATGAGGGTCTTTGAAGTCTGCGATGAGGGTGTGGACAGACTGAGGAGAGATAAACAGACAACCAGAGCTTCAGATTGCAGAGTTCAAGTGAGTGTGATGGCTACGGTTTATGTATGTCAGTGTGCACAATTTATACAAGCTTTATTGCTAGATATTTTGATCAAAATGATGTTACCAAAGTCTTTACATGCCTGAGTTACCCCTTTTTTCAACTTTTTCCATGTATTTTTGTCAAAACAACTAATGGGAACAACAGTTATTGACCTTGGTCCAGTATGCAGCAGGAGCTCTACAGCCAGCTGCGGTGAAACAGGCTGCAATGTAATCAATCAGGGCATGTTTGCACCGTCAGTTTACGTCCACTAAAAGTGCTTGTTTTTGCCACTGACAGGCTCAGATAGTTATTTTAAGTGTCTGACAACATTTTGGACAGGATCCCTACAGAGATAGACCTTTTTGTTAAAGAGCAGATCCTTTTAGTTTAACCAGAAACAGCCCCCTCCAGACTCCATTTAAATAAACACTAATTTTAGAGTGTATAGAGCCAGTATGTTTTCACATTTAACAGGTTAAATTTAGGGTTTACTTCAACCAAACCAGAGTGGGTTATTGTTGGAACAGTGGAAAGACAAACCAAGATGGCTTTTATAAGTTTTGTTTTGTTTCTGTTGACTCTGAATGAAGTATGTTTAACAGTGATAAATTGTTGTTAATTTAAATGGAGTCTGGTGGGTTAAATGATAGCGATTTCGGGGCTGTTTCTGGTTAAACGAAAAGGATATTACTCTTAAACAAAAAGGTCTATCTCTGTAGGGATCCTTTCCATGATGTTGCCAGACAATCTAACAACAACCTGAGCCTGTCAGTGGCAAAAGCAAGCACTTTTAGTGGACATAAATTGACGGTGCAAACATGCATTTGTGGTTGTACTGTAGCTTTTTTTGTCGCTGCTAGTTGCAGCTCTCTGATTCAATACTGGACTGATTTCAAACACTGTTGTCTCTATTAATCACTTACACAAAAAACATGGGAAAACAGGGTCCAGATTGATAACTGAGAAGTTACCATTTACACTAAACACAAGAAGTTACACAAGACAGACCACAAGAAATGACATTTTTAAACATCATGCTAAACATTTGCTCAACACATCATGCTAGTAAGGCTTAAAAAAATAAACCAAAGAGATCAAACATGAGACCAAACAGAACAAAACAAACTCAAATACTTGCTCAGGAAAAATTATAACACCACTGAAGCAACATAATAAAGGTCCTAACACCTGAAACTATGCTAAGCTTCATCAAATTTTGACTCCTCCTGTTTTCTTCTATGCCGATACATTGAAATTGTAAAACCTATCAAACATACTGTGTATTCTTTTATTTTCAGTATCCACTACACTACACTACGTAGCAATTTGCAAACCGTATCACACATCACATTCATAGTACATATTCATATTTGGGACAAAGAGAAACACACACACACCAGGGAAACAAAGAAGTGTGCATGTGTCGACTGACTGAGTCAACAGCCGTCTGTTTGAACTCGCTGCGGCTTCTTTCCTCTCTCAGCTAAAAATACAGACCTGCTGCCATAGACACACCTCTAAATATACACTATGAATGACACACAGAGAGACAGAAGGCGTACCTTCTCTGTGGGTGTAATCAGGTAAATGGCCTCCAGACTGGGAAGAGGCTCTCTTCGCTTCATGATGTCCTCCACGACTAGAGAAGGAGAAACAGGCAAACGTGCACAGTTACAGAGGACCTTACACAAACACTCAGAACAGTGCAGAGAAATGCTAGATGTGGCCATAATCTCTTACTGGTGATGCCCTCTGTCATGATGTCTGTCATCTTGCAGCAGGAGGACAACATCCTCATGCTCAGCTGGTCCACGATCAGCGCCTGGCAACAGGAAATTAGATAAACACAGTTCACTTACATTACATATTGCTGACACAAAAAACATGTTATTCAAATAAAGCTGTACATCCATTTTGGGAATTGTAAATACCTGTAGCCACATATATATATTGTGTGCATTTGTATCTTCTCTGTATTTCAGCTTGCTGTATCTTTAGTTTTGACTACAGTTTCAATTTCGTGATTGTTTGGAATATCCTGTGGTGCTCAGCAAAAAAGCTGCACAGCCCTAAAATCATTATTCAAGACTGATTTTAGGGCCTCAACTATTATTTGACTAATAGATTACTTGGCTACACCACCTATACTCACTTATAGAAATGAACAGTGCTTGAATTGAGCCAGTACTTACACAGATTGCTGACACGTAAGATTTCTGTCCAACTTTATACTATTTGTATATTGTGCCAAAATCCTTCATAAATGGTTTATGAATTCAAACTAGAGAACAACACGAGGAAGCTGCAGGGCTTTGATTTGACATCAGATTTAAAATAAGACACCTAACTGACCACTTTGTCTGGGTGAGCACATGTGATGTAGTCTTTTTTTTTTTTTTAACTCATAGCCCTCCACATCGGTGAACTCAGATTAAGACCCAGAGATTGAGGGCATTTTCTTGTAAGTGTGAACATCTTACCTTCCATTCTCCCTTCTTCTTCACCTTCTTGATGACATCATTCATTATCTCTGCAAGAGAAAATAAACATCATTAGGAATCTGATGGTCGAACAATGGTTTGACACATTTTGTAAACAGGGAATACGCACAGAGCTGCACACACACACACACACACACACACACACACTTTCCCCACAGTAAGTTCCACTCCGAGGGCTGATTCACTTCAGCTCCATCACACTCACATAAATAATTAAATAGATAAATTCAGGGGAATATATGTAACAACCATTGTTTGGTTGTTCAGGTGTCTTTGAACCCTGCAGGCTGGATGACTTTGTGTGTGTGTGTGTGTGTGTGTTTGAGTGTGGGGATCACATATGGCTCTGTCTTACAGTACAGTATGTGCTCTATTTATTTGAGTATCCTCACTTTATGGGATTTTTTTTGTATCCAAAAAGAGACTTTTAGACACCATTTTGCAACAGGATCACACTAGCTGTGATGCCAATCCATGACTTAAAACACATGTAGGCTACTTCCTACCCCACTTCTCACTTCCGGCGCCCTAATTTGGACTACACATCAGCAGACTCGGCATTCATTGTGATTTCAACAACAAACCTGATGTTTTCTGACTCAGATTTGCACGGTTGTGACACAAGTGCAGTTACAAATCTGCCCACAGACAGCAAGACATATAGACAACACCTTGCTAAGTACTTGAAACTGCTTCTGTGGTACTTTGTGCTACAACAGGTGTCTCCCGAACCACATTTTGCCATGATGGCAAGGTGAAAACAAGCCTTGCACCGCTGTCTGGCAGCAATTACTAAAAAACAAGGAACTAATAACAACAATGGAGGCAAATATTTATCTCGAAATGGCATTTACTGATAATATTAACCATGCTTTGAGTATAGGGCTGCAACTAACGATTATTTTCATTGTCGACTAATCTGTCCATTATTTCTTCGATTAGTCGACTAATCATTTTATCAAAAAATGTGTTATAATGTTGAAAAACGTCGGTCTGTCTCTCCCAATCCCCAAAATTATGTCATCTAATGTCTCGTTTCATACTCACGCTAAAGGGTTTTAGTTCACCGTCATGGGAGAGTGTGTAAAGCTGCCAATATTTCAACATAAGATGCTGCAATAAGAGTATTTTGGGGTACATTTATTGTACTTTTCTATAAAAAATGACTCTGACTCCTTAGTCGACTATTAAAATAGTCACTGATTATTTTTCGATTAGTCATTGATTAGTCGACTAATCGTTGCAGCCCTATTTGAGTATTCCCTTTCCCTTTGGGAAAATAAGATCGGTATTGCATGTAACTGTGTGTCTTTTAATGTCAAGAGCAAACATTACCTACGTTGTAACTATAAAGTACTGCTATAACATGTATCTTATAGTAGTACAGAGAAGAGAAGCCAAAAACAAGGTGCTTATTCATGCAGGTTTGGGCTCTATTAGCTCACTTGACTCAAAAGCAAAACACTACAGCAGAGACATCTAACCTTATCCTGTCCTAATGGTATATATTTGAAAATCCCATAATGCATTTCCTTTACTGCAGGACAATAACATGCCAAAGTCAAATACAGCCTCCAACAAGGTTAATTAGCACAGATCTACAGCAGTGGAATACATCCTCTCTGTGAGGAGTGAATAAAAACACAGAGACTGTTGGGAAGGGATTCTGCTTTGTTTCCTGGTGATCTCAAAGATCCACAGAGGAAAAATAATCCTATCCAATGTGACGTCATGGCACAATGGTCATGTTTATGCCACGAAACTGATATTGGCCTGATCACTGTGCCAACCATCTGCCAGCTGTGTTGGGATAAACCCATTTGGGGTGAATTACTGTTTAACATCATGCTGGATCGCTGTGAATATAAACCGTTAAGCCCTTCGGCCCCAGCTAAAACCTGAGGCCACACAGATACTGATGGATTATCACAGTTTAAAAAGGACTCAGACAAAAAAGATTACATTAAGGTCAGGGACGCATTCAGGTTTGTGTTTTTGCCTCCAAAACAACCAATGTTAAACTCTTCCAGGTGATGAACAAACCAGCTGCTGATTGGATCTTTTCACTGTGAGAGGGAGGGGCATAGCATGAATGGAAGGACAAATAGATGGGATGACAGAATATAGGAGATGGAATAAAGGATACACAGACATGATGGACAGAATGAAAGATACAGTACATATGATGGAAGGAAGGATGTATAAGATGGTTATCAAACTATAAGGGAAAGCTGAAGAGAGAAAAGTGATGCAAAACTGTGTGAAGAGAAAGGGAGAGGTGCATGCCACTAGTGTTTGGAAATCAACTACACACTATTTACTGTAGTTTTGCAGGTTGATTTGGCCCAGTTATCAACATGGTCAGCAGTTTGAGCAGCAGCAGTTATGACACAGAGCTCATGGAGGCAATTACTCGTCGTACTCCTTTTCAAAATCATTATTCTGTCAAATGTGGACACACAGACATGATTCGCCTCCTTCAGCGCAACTTACACTCAGAAGGATATTATTATGTCTGACGTCCATCGTCTATCACAGATGCTGATTAAAGAGCATGATTATGGTGTGCCTTGGGCTGGTCACAATAGAAGGCCAATCTAAAATGTGAAGACAAGAGCTGTTGCCTGTGACTTTAATGTTCATTTCACTACCATAAACCATCTCCAATGTCATTTCCCATCCTCACAATCGCAAACCACGTGTAGCCACATCAGCCCAGGACCTTAACATCTGGTTTCTTCACCTGCAAGATGGTCTGAAACCAGCCACCTGACAGCTGATGCAACAATTTGGTTTGCCCAACCAAAGAATGTCTCAGTGGCTGGTCCCTGACCATCTTGCAGGTGAATACTGGCTCACTAGACTGGTTGGATGTACTGCCAAATTCTCAGAAACAACTGGAGGTGGCTTATGTTAGTGAAATAAACATTTAATTTTCAGGCAACAGATCTGGTGGATGGCCCTGCAGTCAGAATTCAGTTGTCTGTATGTCCATGGTTACACTGCAAACAGGAACTGCTACTTTAGCATTATTTTAATGGTGCACTGCAAAAATGAAGACAAGCACAGGCTAAAAAATGTCTCAACTAAAATCTAAGTTGTAGCTAATGGCTAATTAACATTATACTGCCTGACATAATAACAATAGGTATGAAAAAACCCACAGGTAAACATTTTTTCATGTCTCATTTTGGTCTCTATTTTGTCTGAGGAGCTGCCCACAGTGTCAGACTTTGAAAACCTCCAGTGCAAGATGAAAGGAAGTATATGATGCCGGAAGGACAGAAGGATTCGTTGGCTGTAAGGAAGGATAGATACATACTATATAAAGACTAAAACCATTCAGTTATGTATATATAGCTCAAATTTATGTTGTCAAAAAACTACAAAATTTGTCTTAAAAGCAGCATACGCACTGTGACAGACTGAAATTTGACCCAGTGAATGCAGAAACACTGCCAGACTACGGCCTGCACCTCCTGTGAGTCAGAGTAAGTGTATCTGACCTCCTATGGGACATATGATCTTGGAATAGTAAGAATATTATTCTCACTAAATGACAGAGAGATTCCCCGACTCAGCTTCAGTCTATTTCCAGTATCTTCTGTGTTTTGTCCCGTAAGCTGCTGCGTCAGCGCAACAGCAGAACCAAAGCAACAAAACCTGACGCACATTATTTTGTTAAGGACCAGGTGCTTTGATTTTGGATCCGTTGATGAATCTGTGCTAACTGGTCAAAGTAAACATTGTAAAATTAAAGCTGGCTCACTTTAATTCCTAAAAGGTTGACTTGTTTTTCATCCAGCAGAGGCTCCAGGCTACAGGATGAGACACTTTACAACCAAAGAAGCGGTGGGGATATCCGTCTCTCGCTTTCCCTTTTCCTCTGCAGCAGCTGATGTGTTTCCTCTTGTTCTCGCTCCAGCATTTTTCTGATAAAAGCAGCTCCAGTCACTTCACTGATATTTTAGTATTAACTAGTGTTTTTCCAGTTAATTTTCTGTTTCAAGATGTTGCACCTATTTCTCAAGGAAATGTTTCTCACACATTAATGTCCATAAAAAATAAAGCTTTTATGCTACATAATATAATAAAATCCTCTTCTAGAGGTGAACTGAGAAGCAACAACACAACATTTACAATTCGTGTTTGTCAATGACGGCAGAGAGAAAACAAATCAATATACATATCTAATCTTGGGAAATATGTATGAAAGGATTGTGGGCTTTCAGGTTGTGGAAACAAAGTTAAAGCTGCACTAAACAATATTTGTAAATCAAATGATCGAAAGGGGGCATTTGAAGTGACAAACGCTGAAAGGACCCAGCTCCACTCTTAATCTCTTAATCATTCAGCTATTTTCAGCAAATAAGCTCTGACAAACTCACTGTGCAGGATTTGGAACAAATTTAACCCCTACACAGTCATCATCCACCAATACGTTTTCACTAACAGCTAGGCAATATATCAATATTATATTAGCACTGAAATATGAGACTAGATATCCTCTTGGACTTTGGACGTATATCATTGTAAGTGTTGTCTTCTCCTGGTTTTAAAGACTGAATTACAATAAAGCAATGCTTTACTGACTGCTCTAGCTGCTCTATTATTTGCCTTTATCCAGATTACTCAGTATGTTTACATGCACGCAGTAGTCGAGCTAAGTTCACAGCTTGGCTAATCAGTCAAGTTGGACTTCTCGTCTTGTCTGAGTATACAGTACAGGCCAAAAGTTTGGACACACCTTCTCATTCAATGCATTTTCTTTATTTTCATGACTATTTACATTGTAGATTCTCACTGAAGGCATCAAAACTATGAATGAACACATGTGGAGTTATGTACTTAACAAAAAAAGGTGAAATAACTGAAAACATGTTTTATATTCTAGTTTCTTCAAAATAGCCACCCTTTGCTCTGATTACTGCTTTGCACACTCTTGGCATTCTCTCCATGAGCTTCAAGAGGTAGTCACCTGAAATGGTTTCCACTTCACAGGTGTGCCTTATCAGGGTTAATTAGTGGA